AGGTTTAAGACTGTCTGATTTTGATTGTTGCATGATAGGTTGAAACCGGGATAGCCGCAGTGCTCCGGCTGCCGGCCTTTCAGTAGGAACGGAAACCGAATTGGTGGCCCGAAACCGCCGCATTTAGCAGGCTTACAGCCACTAGAAGATATTGCTGGCTGTGCAAAGACAAAGAGCAGTACCAGAAAACACGACGTATTGTTGAAAAATCTTTTCCATTGACCATTTCTGAGGAAAATGATGGAGAAGAGTAAGAAGGTGTCCATGTTGTACTCGAACAAACGGATTTAACTAACAATGAAACTACGTGCTCTGCTAGTCTCGAGCCTACGTAGATAGTTTTTATGGAGCGTATGCTTCTAAAAATGTAACAAAAGCGTGCAAAGGTTCCTTTTTCATCCCAAAACGAGTCGCTAAAATCAGCCTTGGATAAAGAATTGCTTTGGTATATATATGCAATTGTTGGAAATTTTGTAAGTAATAATTAATACCAAAGAAAAGTGGTAACGTCGTCGTCTATTTAGTGCTTTTCTTTTTCTAATATTAATTAATACCAAAGAAAAGTAATTAATTTGACTTTCTGGAATGGTGGAATTCAATAATAATAAGAAAAGTACTGAAAAAAAATATAGGACTGCCTTAGTCTATGCAATATAAAAAGTCAAATTAATGGTAATGAAAATGTCTGGTAAATATAGTAAATACTGTTTTTGACAGGGACAATTTTATTTCGTGGGAGAAGTACATTCACAAATAAAATTGACTAATATTTATGTAAATTTCTACTAATACAAAATAAAATTTGGGGATAAGAATGGTTTAATGTTTTTGTTTTACTCTAATTTCTTGGTCCAAAATAACTAAGAAAAAGCTTTAATTTATATTAATCTCATAATTCTCTTATCATGTTAGGGTATGAAATAAAAATAAATCATATGATTTTGTACTTTGATTTTAGGGTTTGAGATTTACGATTGACGGTAAGTGGCTTGTAGCGAAGTTTTCTTTAAGAAATTTGCTATCTAGTTTATATAGTCAACTTGTGCTTTATATTAGCAAGGATAATTCTTGATGTACATCACCATTTACATCAAGGTGTCCATAATGGATACC